TAGTTTTACTATAATGTGTGAGCGTGTAAATCTATTTGCTTGATTCTTCTTAGAGTTCACTGACCATCATGAATGTATAGATTAATATTCAACAAACTTCAAAAGTTTGGGGCCATTATTTCTTTGACTATTTTTCTTCTCCTTTTTCTCTCTCCTTCTGGCCCTCTTATTATGCATAATGTGAATATATTTAACAATGTACCACATTTCTCTGAGGCTCTGTTGATTTTTTTACTTCATTCTATTTTCTCTCTGTTTTTCATGTTGCATAATATCTTCCAATCTATTTTCAATTTCAGTGAATCTTTCTTCTGCCAGCTTCTATGAGTACAGTTCTACTGTTGAACCCCTCTAGTGAATTTTTAATTTCACTTATTGTACTTTTCAGCCTCAGAATTTTCATCTGGTTCTTTTTTAAAAAATAATTTCTAACCTTTCATTGATATTCTCAATTTTATGAGACATTTTAATCATACCTATCTTTAATTCTTTGTTCTTTGATTTTCTTTAACTCTTTTAACCTAGTTATAATAGCTGTTTTGAAACATTTGAATTCTAAGTACAGCACCTGGACTGTTTCTACTAACTGGTTTTTTTTTAAACCAGGTGTTGTCTGACTTTCCCTCCATGCGCAGCCTCTGTTGTCATTCCTCAGAGGGTGCATGACTGGGTAGATGCACAGTCATTCTTATCCTCTCCCATTTCCAAAGGATAATAATCACTTTAGTTGTGTTCACTTTGACTGTTTCTTTCCATGGTCTCGCTGTTAAGTGATTGTTCTGCCTGTGTTGGTATCACACCCAGATTTTGGCCTTCTTAATTGTTTGCTGAATTGTTGCTCTACGGTTTTCAATAATACTCTGAGGTATGAATGGACCAACAATCTGATCCAATTAAATTTGTCTGCTTCAGCTACTGTAACAACATACCACAGACTGTGTGTCTTAAATAACACAAATGTTATTTTCTTACAGCTCCAGAGGATGGAATTCCATAATCAAGGTGCTAGCAAATTCACTGGTGAGGGTTCTCTTTCTGACTAATAGATGCCTGCCTTTTCGTTACTTCCTCGCGTGGTCTTTCCTTAGTGTATACACCCAAAAAGAGAGACAGAGTGAGATATCTAGAGTCTCTTCTTATAAGAACATTACTTCTGTCAGATCAGGACCCCACTCTTATAACCCCAATTAACCTTAATTATTCCTTAGAGGCCCCATTTCCAAATACAGCCACACTGGCATTTGTGCTTCAACATATAATTGTGGGGGACATAAACATTCAATCTATAACAGGCTTCTGTATAGGGGTAATATCTGGGGCCAAATTTTGTGGCTAGTGCCAAATCCAGGAGGGCATTTCTTACCTCTTTTTCTGCCTGTCTCTGTTCAACTTCTAGCCGGTCTGCCAATAGCTTGTTGCTATCATGAAGCAACAAGCCTACTCTTAATTGCTCACCAGAAGCATCTTCATTGTTTTCAACAGTGTCCCTATGCTTGAAATGCCCCATGCTCTCTTACAAATAAAATTCCAGCTTGTGTATCATCAGTCTTCTAAGGCAAAGATACATAACCCTCTATTCTTATGGCCTGCCTCTCCCATAAGTAGTACCTTTACACCACTGCACCAGAGCTGGCAGAAGAGACTGTGACCTACTTCTCCTGGAGCCATATTCTTGTTCCACAAGTGGAGCACTGATTACGGATCGTAGTCCCTAGTCTTTTTTGCTTGTGCCTCCTGAAATACGTCCTGCACACTATGAGTGATCCAGGGCAGGGATATTCAGGACCTTGCTGCTCCTGGGTTAGAGATTATACCCTATGAGAGGAGGCTGGGTGAAGGAAGGAAACCATAGTCCTCTTGGTCATGTCTACAATGAAGAGAATTTCTGCAACTTGAGGCTGGGACAATAAGAGATTCCAACAGCCTTTTGCTCTAGGGGTGAGCTATGATCTTTAACTGGAAGCTGGGAGGAGAGGGAGTCTTGTCTTTTGGCTACATCCACTCAAGAGTTGAGCTTCCATCATACTGAGCTTGGGGAAGAGCAGAGGTTAATGGAGCAGATCCTGGTTCAAATGCCATAGACTCTCACTTCTTACTGAGATTTAGATTTTCTAGAATAAATAATTCTTAATTTTCTGCATGCCCTTAAGACAACTTCCAGAGATTTTTATTTCTTTTTTATAACTTTTACCAGTTAAATAGTTGTTGAAAATGTTCTAGCAGTTTACCTCTACCATCTGTCCCTACCCTTACTTCCTCTGCACTTCTTCAACGTATGGCTGGGGAAAAGAGAAACTTGATCCCTTCCACCTAGCACCAAGAAAAACATTGATTGTTTTACTTGTTGTAGTTCAACTTTACACAGCTTTTTTTTTTTTTCTACAATGAACCCAAAGCCCAGAGAATCCCATCAATGAAACACATTTGGAGAGACTGGAGAAGGTAAAAAACATGGTTCATGGCACCTACTGGGTCCAATATTACTACTTCCTGTAGTAAAATGTCTGTAAAGATTACCTCCAGCAATTCCTGTCATCCAATATGCACATGCAATCAAGAGATAGAATCTATTGCCTCACCCATGGAATGTGAGACTTGGGACTTGCTTTAAACAACCCATAAATTGTGATAAAAATGATACTCTGCCAGTTCTGGGATTAAGCTCTCTGAGAATGGTCAGCTTCCACTATCGCTCTCTTGATACTCTGAACTGCCATATAAGGAATTCCAGGCTAACCAGATAAAGTGAGACACCATACAGAGAGAGAAGCCATGGGAAGAAGAATTAAGACACCCGCCCCAGGCAAAAGCCAACAAAAGATCTCAGTCATGTAAGTGAAGCCATCTTAAACCTTCTCGCCTAGCCCAGATACCAGCAGAATGCAGCTTTCCATTCCAGCTAATATCACATGGAATGCTGCCCAAATCCTGACCCACAGAATCATAATAAAATAGTTGTTGTTTAAGCCACTATGTCTTGGGGTAGTTTGTTGCAAAGCAATAGATAAATGGAACACTCCATTTGTGGAATTAGATAATAAAGTTTTCTTCAGATTAAGTTTCTTAACAGCTGGTAACAGTTTAAATAGAAAACTGATAAAAGTAGAAAGAAAAAGAAGTAGAAGGAGAAAAGAGGAGGACTATTAGGGGACAAAGTTATCTATGACTAATAGAGACAGAACAAAATAAATGAAATAGATTGGGAGAGGTGAGGGAAAAAGTGAGTAAGTGAGGGAAATCAGGGACATGTGACCTAAGGAGGAAATAGATTAACGATTCAAGAGTCCAGATGGTGGACGTATGAGTACAGGAGATGTAGAGGGAGAAGGCAAACACTAAATTAACAAGTAGGGGGCCTGGGTCCACAGCACAGTTCTATTGTAATTAGCCATCTGCCTTCAAGAAAGGCATTTGTTCTATATGGCATTCAGTTTCCTACATGGTAAAATGAGGGATCGAGATAAATAATCTCTTGCAGATTTAATTTATTTCCCTTGACAAGAAAATACAAATGAGTTTGACAATTCTTATAAACACTGTGTCCTGAAAACCATACCTATTTATGGGGTGAATGAGACTTTGTAACTATAAGTGGTTGGCTTATTTGTGCAACAAAATGCTAATAGTCTACATTACTGAGAAAGGAAATATTGTTATTTCAGTAATGTGGAGATGCTCTATTGATAGTATCTGTAGGGCTAACAATTTTTTGTCCAAAATTTCTGCCTGACTTACCACGAGGCTTTGTTTTTTATGTTAATAACCTCAATAAATCATATCTAATATTATTTTCTAAGAAAAATAATTATTCCAATGTGAGACTGCTAGATTCTTTGTTTTAAGACAAGTTATAAATATCCTTTTTATAAAGTCTCTTTGCTGTTGCTAAAATATTTGATGCCATCAAACATAGTATCACTACTCCTTAGAATATTAATTTGGCTTTGTGAAACAAACAAGAACATTACACATACTATTAATGGGCAAGTATTCTCTTAAATTCTTCTAACATGAATTCTTTTCAGATTTTCATTAGTTCATTTATATTCACTGAATGTGTTTCTTTTTTGAACCCCATTCGGATTCAACTCCTCAAACAAACCAAGCTCACATCTTATGTATGTGAAAGTATATTTACTGTGCAATTATCTAAGTCTGCAAAACTTTCCTTAAACCTATTTTCTATGTAGGTTATCCCTAACCCTACTTTAACTCCTTTTTATTTTTCAGCTCTTAGCCTATTACTTCTGAAAAAGCTTCCTCTGATTCCAAAGTCCAGTTATTCTTACTGAATGCCCTCAGTATGACACAAATACACTGTTTTCTAATTGCCTAGCTCTAATATGTATTTCACATTAGACTAAGTTTCAAGAGGACAAAGATCTGAGACTAGACATTTTTTTCTAAGTCCTGCACTTAGCACAAGTGTGTTCAATCAACAATTGTTAACCAAGTGAAAAATGAGTGAATGTATTGCATGTGACACTGTGGGAGACATTAAAAAGAAATGGAATACTTTGTAGAACATTAGAATCAGTTATATTTATTATAGGTATGTATATTAATAATGATATTTTATGAGCATGAAAGCAACAACTCATTTTAAGATCAATGTAACTGCAATTATGCCATATAGTTGAAGTCTTAATTTTTTCTAAATATAATTTACTATCTATCAAAAAACTGAGAATAATTGAGAAAAGGAAAAGTCAACACATTAGATTATATAGGTCTATTTTTTGGAATAAACACTACAGATGAAAAACACATCAATAAAATGTGTTCTTTACGCACTTAGGATATTTAAGGAATCAAATCAACTATATAAAGTATTGCATTTTTCAGAATATAAAATACATGTCAGTCAACAACTTATAAAATGTTCCAGAGTGCCCCAAGTTGCAGAGTAAAGGTTTACAGTTCAGAAGCAACAAGATATAGGAATTAATTGGATGATATTCAAGAGAGAAAATTGTGAAGCAGACACAGACATCTATTACCTTTCTAGTGTGAAAGCATACATCTTGGCAGCTTTATCATTCACCAGGTAAGTTCTTTCAAGAAACTCCATGACGGCCAGGATAAGAGCTGCTGCTGCTGTTGTCGCTGTTGAACTCACCGCCCAGTTTTGGAAGCAAAGCAGCACTGCAACTATTTATACACTTTCTAAAGAAAAAATTAAAAGGCTCCAGAAATTAAAATAATGAGCTTCCTACATCAGTGCTGTTGGTAGGTCTGCTAAAATTACAGCCTCCTTGGAATATTACCTGGCTTCATTGTTTTCACCTACAAAAACTGCTTTTCTAGGGAGACTTGCAGGTAGCATTATATGAAGTGTGTATGTCTTTCACATGATATCTGATTCAATTGTGCTTTCTAAGAGGTAGAGGAGCTCAAGAGTTTGCTACGAATTGCTGATGTAGGGTTTTGACCTTCAGAGCACACCTGGGTGAGCTGCAAATAGCTACCATTCTGTACACTAATCTAATTTTTTCTTTTTCTCTCCCTCCTCCTTTTTCTAGACTCTTTATCAGCCTAAAAGTATTTCTTTGGAATTTAGTTCTAAGATGACCTCTAAGCAGCTGTCAGAATTTACTTGTCTCTCCTAGGACCATTTTGGGATTTCACTATTGAAAGGGAGGACAAGGGTCAACAGTTTCTGAAACCAGTAATCTGAAAACAGTTCTTGGTACAGCAGCTTTGAAATCCTTTTGACCGGCAAGGGAAGGACAGACTCTGCTTTTACGTAAATAACAGCACTCCAAAACACAAGAACCAGAGTGAGCTTACTTCTCCCTGGCCAGGGTACGCTCTATTAAAGATCAAGGATTCACCCTATCAGGCATGCCAGTTCCAGCTCTCAGGAATGAAGCCTCTGAGTTGCTCCTGAGAGACCTTGGACTCTTCAACTCCTAGGAATCAGTATTTACTTCATTACAAAGCACCTTCCTTCTCAAGTAAGAGAAAGAACTATAGCCTTATGGCAAGAGCTTGGACAAACAGTAGGCATTTGTGTGGGGGCAAAAGGTTCCAAGACCTATACAAATGTATGCAAGGATGCAGAGAGAGGGGGTTGTGTAGACTGGAGAAGAGGAGTAAACCCCAGACCACTAGGTTCTTGTTGCCTTTTCCTTGTGTGATCACTAACTTTCTAGTGAGAAAACTCAGGGTAGTTAAGTCCCAGAAAAACCCAGTGGCCCAGTATAATGGGAAGTTGCCCATTATGCTGAGCTGAGATCTCTCACAATGGCCTGATAAGATGAATATTGTCCTCTAAAATGAGGATGGGGTTCAATGCCAGTTGTCATAGGCAGTGACAGGAGAAGACACCTTTGGTTCAGAATGAGAATATTAGGTCTCCTATCACATCTGTGGTGTGATCGCTGTACCTCTTAATATCTTAAGATTTCAAACACTTTCATCTATAACATAAATTCTAAGGTCTTCTCATATGACCCCACTCTTATCCTTAACTTTGCTCACACAGTTGGGAGCCTCTAAGAGGCTCTGGGGGAGCCTTTTCCTTGCAAGTGAAGGCATTGAAATCCTGGGTCTACTGTTAGCAGAATAAAAACCAATGTATTTTTTCTCATATATTCTTACTCTTAACCTTACAAAGTAATCAGTTATTCTGTGGAGGCAAAAATAAAAAACCAGAAAAGAATTACTAATCCACCTGTGTGACACATTCAAGCTGCCATACGTCACAGCTTGAATCATTTGTGAATAGTTTCACAGCTTGAATCACTGTGAATAGCACATACAAGAGAAAGAGAATTCAAGTGAATGAATGTCAAAAATAAGGAAACAAGTCCCAGAGCAAGATGGCCGAATAGGAACAGCTCCAGCCTCCAGCTCCCAGCGTAAGCGACACAGAAGATGGGTGATTTCTGCATTTTCAACAGAGGTACAGGGTTCATCTCACTGGGGAGTGCCAGACAATCGGTGCTGGTCAGCTGGTGCAGCCCGATCAGCCAGAGCTGAAGCAGGGCGAGGCATCACCTCACCTGGGAAGCGCAAGGGGGAAGGGAATCCCTTTGCCTAGCCAAGGGAATCTGAGACACACAACACCTGGAAAATTGGGTAACTCCCACCCTAATACTGTGCTTTACCAAGGCTCTTAGCAAACGGCACACCAGGAGATTATATCCCACACCTGGCCGGGAGGGTCCCACACCCATGGAGCCTCGCTCATTGCTAGCACAGCAGTCTGCGATCTAACTGCAAGAGGGGCGCCCGCCATTGCTGAGGCTTAAGTAAACAAATCTGCCGGGAAGTTCGAACTGGGTGGAGCCCACAGCAGCTCAAGGAGGCCTGCCTGTCTCTGTAGACTCCACCTCTGGGGATGGGACAAAGCTAAACAAAAAGCAGCAGAAACCTCTGCAGATGTAAAAGACCCTGTCTGACAGCTTTGAAGAGAACAATGGATCTCCCAACATGGAGGTTGAGATCTGAGAACGGGAGCGCAGACTGCCTGCCTCAAGTGGGGCCCCCTGAGCCCCGTGAGTAGCGCCTAACTGCGGCAGACATCCCCCCCACTAGCGTGACAGCCGCCACCCCTGGCACCCCTCACCCACGGCAAGTGGTACACCCCTAGCACGGAAGCTTCCACGAGCAAGAATCAGCGACAGGAACACTTGCGGGCTATTCAGCAAATTCAAAACTTTCTGCGCCTCCGGGGCAGCTGATACCATAAACAATAATTAAACCTTAAATGTAAATCTGGACCCTAAATGGTCACAAACTTAAAGGACACGCAGACAGGCAAATTGGATAACCAGAGTCAAAGACCCCCATCAGTTTGCTGTAATTCAGGAGACGCCCATCTCAGCCATCAGCAGACACACCGCAGGCGCTCAAAATAAAGGCGGGATGCGCACGGGAAAGATCCTACCCAAGCAAGATGAGAACAAAAAAAACAAGCCAGGAGTGGCAACGGCGGCGGTCTGCGGGCGCGCGGGGCGATAACAACAGCACTTTTAAAATCACAAACATCAAAGGACAACAGAAGGGGGGGGGGGGCATTACATAATGGTCAGGGCAGAGACAGTTAAGGCCGGAAGCAGCTACATCATCTACACACTACCACACCCAATACAGGCGCAGCACAGCTTCATAAAGCAACTTCCTTAAGAGAACTTACAACGCGCGCTTCCCCCCAAAAAGAGACTTAGACTCAATAAACAATAATCAATGGAGACTTCAACACTCCACTGTCCAACATTAGACAGATCAGAACCAGACAGAAATGTTAACAAGGATAACCGGTTGAACTCAATCTGGCACAACGCCTAATGCATCATCACATCTCCACACAACACACCAACAACAGATACTAGCATTCTTCTCAGCACCCCACATCGGCCACTTATTCCAAAATTGAGCCACATAGTTGGAAGTGAAACGCGCACTCCCAGCCGACATGTACAAGAAAGCAGAAAAATTATAACAAACCCTCCGTCCTCTCCAGACCAGCAGTGCAATCAAACTAGAACTCAGCGACTAAGAACTCAACTCAAAAGCCCTCAAGCTACATGGAAACGCTGAACAACTTGCTCCACTCAATGACTAGCGGGCGGTACAATAACGAAATTGAAGGGCAGAATAAAGAGTGCTCTTGAAACTACACACGAGAACAAAGACAGCACCATACTGCAGAATCTCTGTGGGGGACGAACATTTAAAGCAGTGTGTAGAGGGGAACATTTTATATCCACACTAAATGCCCACAAGGAAAAAGCCTGGAAAGACGTCGCAAAACTGAGCGAGCGCCTAACATCAGCCAATTAAAAAACTAGAGAAGAAAGAGGGCAAGCACATTCAAAAAAGCTAGGCAGCAAGGCAAGAAATAACTAAGATCAGGTGGCATACTGAAGCACGCATAGAGAACACAAAAAAACCGTCCGCAAAAAAAAAATCCAAAATGAAGCGCAGGAGTTGGTTTTTTTGAAAAGATCAAACAAAGAATTGAGTAGACTGCAGCAATTGACTTATTAAACAAAGAAAAGGAGAGAAGAATCAAATCGATGGCATAAAAGAATGATAAAGGGGATATCAGCCAACTGACCCCCATAGAAATACGCAACTACGCAAGTACAGAGACATTAACTGATAAATAAGCCTTTCAGCGCAAATAGCAAATGTTGAAAACCTACAGAAAGAAAATGGATAATTCTCGCCTGGACACTGTAGCAGCGCTCCCGAAGACTCGAAAACCCAAGAAGACACGTCCGAATCCCGCTGAATAGCGACAATAGCAGGCCTGAACTGAGCAATAATTCAAAAAATAGCCTAGCACGCAAAAAAAGTCCAGGACAGATAGAATTCACAGGCTGAATTCTACCCACGACGTACCAAGGAGGGAGCTGGTACCATTCCCGTTCTGAAACTATTACAATGCAAATGAGAAAAAGAGGGAATCGCTCCCCTACTCATTTTACGAGGTCAACATCATCCTGATACCAAAAGCCTGGCAGTACGACAGCAACAAGAAAAGGAGAATTTAGAACACCGAATCATCCCTGGATGAAGGCGATGCGATATGCAACGCAAAATCCTCCCAATATACAACATACCTGGCAAACGCGAATGCGGCACAGGCACATTCAAAAAAGCATTATCCAACCATACGATTCAAGCTGGGCGCTTCATCGATAAGGGAAGCGGTGGTTGTCAGTATCAATTACTCAAATCCAATTAAACGAATATTATTCCTAGCTAATATTATAAATAAATGAACCAAAGACAAAAACCACATGATTACTCTCAATAGATGCAGAGAAAAGGCCTTTGACAAAAATTCACACCGCAGGGCCCTGTCATTACTAAGAAGCTCTCAATAAATTCCGTACTGTGCGGAACATATCTCAAAAAAATGAGAGAGGGCTATTTATGACAGCCCAGCAGCCAGTATCATACTGATGGGCAATAAACTGGAAAAATCTTCCAGCCCTTTGAAAAGACTGCACAGACATGGGATGTCCCTCTCTCACACGCCAACTCCTATTTCAAGACATAGTGTTGGAAAGTTTTGGCGAGCGCAAGTCCAGGCAAGAGAAAGAAATCCAGGTAGTCAGTTAGGAAACCAAAGAATAGACAGTCGAGCGAGTGCCCCTGTTTGCAGATGACAGTGATTGTATACCTTAGAAAAACCCATCACGTCATGCGCACAAAATCGCCGAAGTCTGATAAGCAAGCCGTGCGAGAGCAGAGAGCTGCGAGGTAACCAAAATGCCAACTGTTGCAAAAAATCACAAGCATTCTTTCAACACCCAGTAAATAGACATAAGCAGAGAGCAAATCGTGAATGGAACCTCGCAATTCACAAATCAG